CTTCAAAATAAATTCTTTGGCATAATTCAGTCTCTTCTTTCGATTCTTTTCACTCACGTACGGTTTCTTTCTAGCCACTCTTCCATTGTAGCCGCTATTTTTTAAGGCTCTGCGGATCGTTTGAGGATGCACGTTTTTTCCAGTCTCGTTTAACAGCTCTGATGCTAATTTTGGGGCACTGAGCGTAGGGTCCTTCTTTATTTTTCTTAGTAATTTTCTCTCATCGCGAACGTCTAGTTTCTTCGGTTGGCCTTTTTGGGGTATAAAATCTATACGATCCTCGCATTTGAACCGCTTGACTATATCTCCCACTGTACTCTTGCTTATGTTTAGCAGAGCAGCAATTTCTCTGTACGATTTTCCTTTGGCATTATGATATATTACAAATTGCCGTATATCAAAACTCGTGTTCGCTTTACGAGGCATTGTACAAGTGTATTGCACGATGATCGACAAATAACTAATAAAATAAGGCTTAAACTAGAACGCTTGACTAGATTTGTAAATAAACATCGTCCTCTAATTTGGCGTAACTCGGCTTGAACATTGAAAAAAGCGCTACATTGTAAAGTGTCCGAATATTAAAGTAATGTGAAAATCGGACAATGTTTTATTTAAACCGTATTATTGAACAACTATTGTAAGTTATGTAAACAAAATTTACGCTATTGTTTATTAAGCATATACGTCATCATAATCCTTAATCATTTTTTTTTTTAGAATTTAAGTTATAACGTAATATAGTAAAAATCTCATAGTTTCCGAATATTAAAGTTACTCACTGTAGTTGAGAGCCAAAGGAAAGTGAAACGTAAAATAAATTTCGATCTCGTAAAGAAGAATTTAGGATAAGCTGACTGTATGAGTTTTGAAACATAAATGGTATTCTGTTTGTTGTATAATTCAAAATGTAGAGTACTACATTTTTACTGCAATGCCGGAAATGAGCAAATCAAGTCCATCTTTTAAAATACTCTTGGTGCTTTAAGGAGAAGTCACCCGACCAATAAAGTTAAATGGTGTCTCAAATAGTGTTTACTGGACGAACTTATCAACTTTAGAATGAAACTAATATTACAAATTCTTTACAAAGATTTATCATTTACTATTAGAGAACAAATTACTGTACTTCAGTTTGTAAAACACATATTAGTTATGAAGAAAATAAAATTATTTGTTAATTAAACCTAATTAGTTTATCGAGTGACTATATAGGTAGTACAAAATATTATGGACTTTAGGTAAATGATAATTTTTATTTGAGGTGGTTCGATCATCATAATTATAAAGGTAATAGCTATTAATAGGTGAAACTATCAGAAATAAATGGTAAGACTAAAATCAAAGTTAATTAGGAGAAATATGAGAAAACTTTAAATTTCGAGCTTTAAATCATACAAATTTATCGTACGGAAATGAAAACATCGATTTTTAAAGAAGATAATTTCATTTGTACTAACGCCTATACTTACTACATTATCTTCATGATGAAGCTATCTTATTGAAAGATGCTAATTCAACCTTTATGCCACTATTTAATATAAATGTAAAATTGTCTATCAGCTAATACAAAAACAAAACAAAGTTACTCACATGAAAGTCGGGATTTAAATTTGTATATGTTATGCAACGTACAAATTCAATTTTAATCATATTTTCAAGTATGTATGCTATATGATTATAATTTTAGGTGTAAACGAACATCTATTTATTATAAAACGAATAAATGCGTAATATTACATTCCCATGGAGCTGAGCCTTTAACATCTTTAGTATTGTTGCTTTCAAATTCACGGTGATAATAGTAATAAGGGTAGGTAACAAAGTTTCTAGGAGCAGTAGTGGTTTCATTTCCTCTATACCCCATTGGGTATTTACAATTTCCCTCTCTGTACATAAATACTCTCCTTATATTATAGTTTATTATAAAGTTCACAGTTTTATTGTTTATAATGTATCATCATTTACTTAAATCTTTATCCTTGAACTTTCTTTGGTAAATAGATCCCCTCAAAAATAACTTATCTATCCGGCATTCATTCCCGGATTACCTGTCTAACCATAGATCCTGTTCTGCTCACATATTTCCTTTTACTTTAACTTGCTGCTACCACTGTCTTTGCTAACTTTTGGAATTCCCCAATATGAAGCTTATTGAACAAAAAAGGATACGCGATTTTTTTTTAAAGTTTTAAAGATTTTATTTTGTTTCTATTTTGATATGAATGTAATTTCAAACTCCTACAGCGGACTCATCTAATATATATATTGTCCAGTCCCCATTGTTGTCGAGGATGGCCTGGCATCTTCTTGGCACGCTCTCAACAATTTTTTCTGTGCACTCTGTTGATATCGAACGCCATATCTTCCTGATGTGTAGAGACAACTGTTTTAGGTTGGAGATAAGTTTTTCCGCCAGTTTCCTGTTTATTAAACTCCACACATTTTTAATGGGATTGGCATCTGGAGAATGTGCAGCCCAATTCATACTTTTGATGCTATTTTCCTCTTTCCAGGCGGTGCAAAGGCGACTCCGATGTTTCGGGTCGTTATCTTCTTCTAAGACCCAAGTATCCTTTTTGCTTCCGAACATTTTTTAGCGGTCCTTAGAAGACCATGTTGATAGATCTTGAGCATTTTTTCTGCAGTCAAGTTCTTGGTACAGAGCTCTAAACAGCCGAAACCGCGCCATGGCATCGGCAATGGCAATTTTTGATTTTTTGAAGCTTGTAAATATATTGCCCCCCTTAAACAATCGAAATAAAGTATTGATAATTGATATCACCATTAAATAGATTGTAAACATGTTTTTGAATACCGATTAATTCGGAACTTCATTAATTATTTACTCGAATTGGCACTGTTAGTTTGTATTTTAATCAGGGAAAAATTATAATTTTTTCAAAAAGTTATTCCGCTCTTTTTAGTAGCCACCATCTCCGGGTTGATCTTGGTTCTTACACTTTTCTTTACTCTATTTTCCAACTCTCTCACGTTTTCCTCCGTTATGAGTTCCCATAGTTCTTCTATTTTTCCATAGTCGCTTTCATCTTTGTCCCTCACTTTGCCAAGTTCCGATTTACTCTTATGTCTTGTTCTTTCCTCATCTTTTTAAAGATAAGTATTTTTGACTTGCCTATATTCACCATTAGTCTATTTTTACTTACGAATTTCTGACGTTTTCATATTCCCCCGTCCTTCATCGTTTTGTGCAATTAATATTATATTATCCGCAAATTTTATTGTTAACTTAAATTAATCTTTATTTCGCAAAATATAAAAGCTGATACTCAATAGCTTATGTAAGTTTCAAGTATAAAAATTATTGAATTTTCTTTATGAATGTTCCCTGAAAACATAATTAAACATTAAATGAAAATTATTAAGAATAAATCCGTTGAATGCAAGTAATCGCTTCACAATAGAAACTACCAATCCAGTAAATAGATTCAATTTTTTAAATTTCCTCGAATAATGCCCGTTTTTAAAAATTAGTGAAATTGTTCGAAATTATTGGAATGACAGTATTATTTTAAGATCGTAAAAAGAGTTACATACAAAAATTTTTTTATCGTTCATTCTCTGAACACGATCTGACGACACTATACTTACATAAAATTAGAATACCAACATAGCGGAACTAGAATTTAATGTATGACTTCAATTTTTTAAGACTTGTTTTAGAATAATTTAATAGTTTGGCATTTTTTAAACATAAGATATTTGTTTGATTATTCTTCCGCCCTTACAATTCTTTTATAGATCAAGATAATCTTATATAGAGTTTTAATCTTTCCAATTAGAAATATAAAGTAAAACAATTTTACATTATTTCTTTTTCAGTTATGTGTTCCCATCATAATATGTTTAAAATATCTCTTTAGATGTTTTGAATACTTTGTATTGTTAATAATGATAGTCTATAATTTCTATTCCCATATTTAAGATTTAAATTATGCAATACGAAGTAGCGCACTGATGAATAAACATATTCTATGAATTAACGAATGAAATAGTTGAACATAAAATTCAAGTAACATTATAATTGTTTAATGTTCACAAAATTATGTTACTTTGTTTATGGGTCTATAAAACTATACCGTTGAAAACTACTCTTCTGAATTCGCTATAAACTGATGAAGCTATGCATAGTGATATAAATCGTGTGAATATGCTAGCCTGTGTAATGAGATGCAATTGTTAGCCTTTTTTTTTACAGGGTCGTAGGAAGACAATTTACCTTTTCGTATAAAATTGCCGTGATCGTATACAAATTCTATGGGCAAACATAATGGATTCGTGCATAAATTGAAGAATTATACTATTTTCTGTAATTAAAAATGATGCATTTAATGTTACCTTATACAGGATGTTCCGAAACTACCTGACCCGGTGGGTATGGCGGTATTCGGGAGGCTTCACTGATCACGAAAATCACCTTCCTTTTGTCCGGAAGGTCATAGTTTTTAAATGAGAGCAGGTCAAAGTTGATCAATCAGAACGAGGCGTCAAGAGAAACGTAGGCACCTACGAACTCGCTTTTCTTCCCTCGCTTTTGTTTCTTGTTTCCAATAGGCATGTCTTCGGCTGACGTCATCCTGCCCGAAGCCACCGAGAAACAAAAGCGAGGGAAGAAAACTCAGAGTTCGCAGGTGCCTACGTTTCTCTTGAAGCCTCCCTCTGATTGGTCAACTTTGACCTGCTCCCAATTAAAAACTATGACCTTCCGGACAAAAACAAGGTCATTTTCGTGATCAGTGAAGCCTCCCGAAGACAGCCATACCCACCGGGTCAGGTAGTTTCGGAACATCCTGTATATAGCACGTTATATACTAATTTATTATAAAATATTTCGCATTTGTTATTCTATCCATGAAGTGTAATACAAAAATTTATTTAATCCAGTACTGGCGATCACATGTCAACTTGTCCTTGTATAACATTTGTTATATTTGACTTTCATGGTACTAGTTAATGAAATTAGAAGAGGCACTTAAGTATAAAATGATATGAATCCATGTGACCAGATCCATAACTTTGATAATAAAATTATGAAATAGTAATTGTATGCCATTAGCTACAATTATCTTTCTATGATTCGTAATATAAGCGAATGCTTTGACTTTGGTACTGATGTGAGTTCGAATAATTTATAAGTAAAATAAAGAAACAAGAAATTGTTATTTTGCGAAAATCTCCAAATATATTTCTCTTCAACGTTTAAGTTGCTTTTTTGTCAGTTTCAACACAGAAATATGGCGCACATACACAGCATAATGGCATCAAAAATGAGGAAATCTTTTCCATTTTTATTCTCCTCTACTTGTTACTGTATAAAATGTATTGATATTCCTGTATTCCTTCTATGATGAAGAATATAAACGCGCATTTGACTTAAATGTATCCACAATATTCATGTGAAAATAATTTACAAAATAAAAAAAAATGTACTGATGGCGTCTGTTGTTTCTTTTTTTATGAATCTTTTCGGATGTTTTTTCTCAAATGAAGACATTATTTCATTAGCAATCGGGTTGAGCATACTTCTTTTATAATATGAAGAATACAGGAGTATCAATATTATTGTAAAGTAATACAATGGAGGCGAAAAAGTGTTAAAGATGTCCTTGGTACTTGACTTCATCACACTATGTACGATTGAACAGTAACTTCTTCTTTCATATATGTATACTGTATTCCATCATTAATTAGTATGGAATGTCGGCTTTGCTGTTATAATTTCTTAATTTTTTCTTCACCTAATGAGGGTAATCTCCTTAAAGGGAAACGTTATAAATCCTCAATTTTGTTATCTTATCGGCATTGGAATTAGGTAGGAAATAGTATTCCATAATTTCGTAATATTTCTTGGAATAAATGATTGTTTCGCATATTACCATTTCGTTGAAAATCATATTAGCATGTAGTTTTGTGAACGCAAGCAGTCTTCGAGTTATGTTGCAGACGCGCGAGGGTCTGGGCTAAGGTATTTTTTTTTTATTTGGGTGCGATTGTTTTTCGTGTGGCGTATGAAATTTAACGCCAAAAATACATCATTTCCAGATATCTTAGTTTTCTTACCTTTTTATTCTTTTATTGCAATACATAATTATTTGTGTTTTCAAAAATACACTACGTAAATTAATATTTTAAATGTTGTTTTATTCTACAAATATTGCTATAGGAACCTACACAAGTAGCATAAATAAAGACGTTGTCTGACTGTCTTCCCGGATAGTTCAAATTACGAAGATGTCGACAAGACGTCTTCAAAAGGTCTTATGGCATGGGTTTAGATGTCTTATAGATGTCTTGTGTCAAAAACACGTCTTTTAAACATAAGACGTCTATAAGACCTCAAAACCTATGACATAAGACCTTCTGATGGCGTCTTCGGAATGGATTCTTTATTTGTGCTATTTGGGCTTGTGATGGATTTTTGTTTTATAAATGTCTTAGGCCAAAATGATGTCTCAAAAAAGTGTCAAAACCCATAACATAAGACCTCCTGAAGACGTATTAAATGACATCTTCGTAATTTCTGTTATCTGGTCAATTATCCATTTCCTATAGAAATCTATTACATAAAGTGATTCGACTTACGTTCATTTGACTTACAATTCAACTCTCAAGGAACTTAATCTAAACTATCGTAAGTGCGAGGACTGTCTTTATTTAATAATTTTGCTAATTTTGTCAAATATATTTTTAAACTTACAATTAGATATAATTAATGTTATCTCTTTATTATAGTACAATTTTTGTTACTATAAACAAACGTTTAATATTTTTAATAATAATTATTAAAGTATACTGTCATTATTACAAATGACAAAATAAGTATACAAATTATATGAATTATAAACGATAGCTTCAAGCGAATATAAAATTTTAGAGCATAGCAAGAAAATAAGTATACCATCATCGTGTTCTTCGAGGATAAGTTACAGTTTTATTAACTTAATTACTATTGTATGACATAAGTATAATTTGGAATAAACGATATGTAGTAAAAAAACCCATTCACCAATATTATTCGTACTCATAAAATATTACAGCTTGAAGAACTTTACTATGTTAGTCTTCATTTGGAAGAAAGATAATTCATAGTAAACTGTATATATTTCAACAACAAAATTAACTTCTTACCACCTCTGATTGCAAATATACTCCTTACTAATATTAATATCGTTCTTTATTGAAAATGTAGAAAAACGGATGTTCAGTTAACCACATTAATTTTAATAATTTTATTTTGATGAAATTAAAGAATATTCTGTATACAAAAACTTTAATCACTTTAAAAGTTTTTTAACTATTCTAAGTGAAACATTATTTAGTCGTATGATAAAAATATTTTATTTCATTTTTTTTCTTTTGTTTAATTAAGAGCGATTGCTATAAACAAGTTCAGATATGTTGATTTTTAAATCAAGATTACCATAAAGAAATAATCACTTTGCCGAATCATTGACATTTTTGGTACACATTTTTACGTATATTATTTTACATGGAAACAATGAAAATAAAAATTGTCAAATTGTCTTAACCTAAAAATAACAGATCAATTACAAATGAATGGACAAATTTCAAGTTATTCATAGGTAACATGGCCTGTGCATGATTAAATTTTGTAAGTAAAATATTATCAAAATTATTGTTGCGTCGCAGGATTCAATACATACTTGTACAATATTATGCATAAACGTAAAATAGCTTATTGAATGCATCCTGCTTGAAATATCGTTAATATTATGTCCTTTCCACAGTTATTTCGAGATAAAATTTTGGCAAAAGTACTCTTATAACATACATACAATCTTTTTTCGTGAACACTTCCTGACCTTCTTAAGTTTCTGTATGCACTATTTCTTTTTCTGCAAAATCTAGAGAACATGGGACAATACATGAATTATTTTCCCTTTCATTAATAACACATTACCAGCAAATCATTCCTACCATCCTTCTACTTCAATATCTTTGATTACTGCATAAATCTGCCGAGATTAAGGGTCTTAGCCCAGCTGGCACGATTGACCTTAATACTTTTGGTTGTCATGGCTTCAAATGTTACTTGGCCACCAAGACTTCGAAATCTTTGCATTTCTCTTGAGTGTTCTTCCATTCCATTGATATTGCCATCTACCTCAAGTTTTTGAGCTTTTAATTTAAGTTGTACTTCATTTACTTCTGGGATTATTAAGATAATTTCTCCGTTGGATGATATTCGAGAATCTCCTGTTAGTCGTACGACCTGGATTTTTGCGAGGCCTTCTTTCAAGTCAGCTTGAAGAGAACCATCCAAACAAGCTTAAAGCAAAGATTCAAACTATTATTGAAATATAACATGGAATTTCAATTTAATAAATTATTACGTGGAAACATGTTAAGGTAGGTTAATCTTTAAAAATATCAACTACTAGCTAATGAACAGGATGAAGAGATGAATGGACTAATAAAAGAGCTAGTATACATTAGAAATAGAAATAGAAGAAATGCTAAAGATGAGGAAAATAAAAGAACCTAAAACGGCAGTAGAGGGGGACGGAATAATGGTAGAGTTCTTAAAGGATGCCAAAGGAAGGGTTGATTGAAATGAGAGAAAATTTGAGTGAGTTCTGGGCAAAAAGGGGAGATAGGAAAATGATTTCCAATCCAAAAGGCAGGAGACAGAGGGAACATAAGCAATTATAGCAAGCAATTATAACCTTCCTAAACACAAGATATAAACTGCTGGATAGCATAGTGACGGGATTATTGAAATGTTTGTTGGAAGGTACTAGGATACTGAAGGGAAGTTAGACAGGATTAAGGAGTAGAAGAAGAATTAGAGACCAGATTTTTGTACTCAATGACATAATCAACAATAGGTTTAAGAGAAAGAGAGAGAAATTGCATATAGCGTTTTTCTATTTTAAAGTCGCGTTTAACACAGTAGATTGAAGAATAATAATGAGCGAACTGCGAAAAAAGGAAATAAGCGCGAGATTGTTTAGCATCATAGAAAAAATGTACGAAGAAACCACAAACAAAGTAATTACAAATGAGGGGATGATGGGAAGATTTAAAATATTAAAAACAGTGAGATTAGGGTGCTCCTTCAGCCTACTGCTTTTTAGCCTATTAATACAAGACATGAATGAGGTATGGGAACGAAAAACTGAAGGAGGATCAGTGATAGGGCAGGGAAAGATATTCGCAATGAAATTTGTGGATGACATCGTACTCATACGAGTTGAAGACGACGGACTGATATGTTGAAATTGCCAGAAAAGCATGTAAATTGGAACAGGTTTCCGGTTAATATAAAAACGACCAAGATTCTAATTTTCATTAATACGTTATATGCCACGTGGGCCGTATACGCCCCACGCTGCATGATCGGAAAGTAACAAAACAAAAGTCCGGCACGGAACGTGTTAAAAAAAAGTATAGAATTCGGAAGAAATGGAAATATAACGACAAGGAATGGGAAATGGTAAAGGAATACAAATATCTGGAGGTATGGGTAAGAAGGAGATCTGCAAGTCTAGGGAGCGAAGGGAATAAGGCATTTGAGCGCACTAAATATCGATTGTTTAGGATACAAGAGGAGAATTTGGTACACATATACGACTGCAAGGAGACGCAAAAAGTAGCAAAAGAAAAATTGGTAGTTTGTCGGAAGGAGCTCGCTAAACAGGAAGAAGCCAGCAATCGCTCTCTGTGACTATGCGGCGGAATTTAAGAGACTGGCAGCAAACAGGAGCTGAAAAGAACGAGAGAAAATGGAAAAAAAGGAAGAGGGAAATTATATAACGGTGTGTAAGTAAGAACGGAAAAGACGATATTCGAATCATAAAAATGCTTTTTTAAGCAGATTTCTTTATGACAGATGTTGGTAGCAACAATTATTTCTATAAATTGTATCCATTAAAATAAAAGATTTCGCGTAAAATGCGATTGAAAATACTAAATTAAAGCTTTATGAATCAGCTTACAAAAAATAGACCATACTTTACGGCAATAAATCGAGAGAGAAAAGTTGAACGGACTAGCTACAACGATATCGAGCCATATTAATAATAGAAGAAGTAAGAGACAGAGAAACGCCACACACGGTACACCCTTCTTTTGTCCCCGCTAGTTGTCACGATACGCGAAATAACAGAACAAATGACAAATTGAAAACGACAGTACGGTCTTGATGGTATCAGTGATACGATTGGTCAAAACCAAATAATTTTTTTTTTTTCAACTCAGTGTGCGAAATTCGATTTCTCATGCCTGTCGGTAGTGTGCGAAGTGCCCGATTCACGCATTTTGAGCAGCTAGATTCACTCAGTGCGCGATGTGGTTGATTCGCGCATTGAGTGAAGCCGGCTGCTCAAAATGCTGAATGAAGCTCGCTGCTTATGATAAACAAACGATATCGTAACGATACAGTTATAACCCACATCGTACCTTTGTGAGCACGGGCGTGTAGTGAGTAATCGAAGCGATAAAAATGAGTGCTGCGCGGTTAATAGATTAACCGATTTAATAGATTAATTGATCTATCGGTTAATCGAGTAGTTTCAATTAACCTTATCAATAAATTAATCGATTAATCGATACGTTTCAATTAATTTTTGCTACAGATTAATCGATAAATGGGTTGAACCAGTTTTTGTGAGTAAATTAAACAGCATTGTAATTCACAGTGTTCACGAATTTTATTTAATAATGGAACACGTTAGATCAGCGTATAATTCTGATATAAAAATATTCGCGAGGTTGCCAGTGTCGGAAAACGGGACTGATTATGATCCATTCTTCATTAAATGCCCTTCTCCCATATCCCGTTGATGAAATACATCGTTTTCGTCATCGGGATTATCAATTTCATGAGTTATTATATGCTGAATCCCCCAAAAAACACTTACGTGTAAAAAACTACGCCAAGTACAGGAGTGCTGTGTATTCCTCTAATAAAAAGTATTAATATCAGATTATGGAGGCCAAGTACATAAGTCACTACATGTTTGCCTATTATATGATCTAGCACTGGCCCATCGTTTTAATTGTATTTCCAAAATTTCTTATAACGTTTTCACTACTCTTTTACATTACTACTGCTTCCCGTAGTTGATTATGATTTAATGGTCATTTAATAATTAATAAAACTGTAGATAATTCCTTATCGAGTACTACTTGGCGGGTCCGTGCCAGGAATTCCAAAGTACTTACTTTGAACGTACTAATAGTATTCTAATACCATTTGTTTGTTATTAAGGTTTTACCGTGATTATTATTGACGAGTTATTGTTAATATGCTCTATATAGAAAGTTGACATTGGTCATTACTACTGCTTC